CTCCTCGATTACACCTGAATTCCGCTTCTTGTCGCTGCCGAGTGTGTATATTGCATGCTGGTCCCCTTGTAAAATAGGGATGAGTGAAACCGACGAGCAGAAAAATGGCTTCAGCAACGTTTGACGGTAAGACAAACACTAGCGATATACTATGGCCGTACGCATTAGAACGGCAACGGATGAATGAATGGATGAATGTAAAATATCACCTCGCTGAATTTGCATGGCTTCTATGCGATCTCCTAATATGAGCCGTCTCGCGTCGTTCCGAAATTCAACGATTTGTTTTGTTTCCATGCTAGAGACTAGCTTGTTGTCAAGACCTTGCTCTCGGTCTGAAGTACTGAAGCCAACACCAGCGATAAAGAACCGCGAAGTCGACGATCGCCTTTTGCCATCCAGTTTACTTCTTGCCTTCTCCGCGAGCAACACAGTACACGAATCTTAATGAAATAGATTTCCCATTAAACAACAATCGTCGATGCTGCAATGATTTGCCGAAGCCAGTGCATTAAGAACGCACTTTCTTGACGGCCGTGAAATCATCACCGAAATGAAGGGGGCAATCGGGGAATTTCATAACCGGTTGGTTGTTTACATTGCGTATTTCGGGAGATCGAAATCACCGAATAGTTCAACGATTGTTTTCGATAGCTACTTTTTCGGCAACAGTTGCTCACTATTAAACTATTAGGCTATGGAACGCGTTTCAATGAAAAGGCCCTTCGAAGGAGTTACCCAGGGATCCATGCACGGAAACTACAATCAAATCCCAACCGTTCTCGTAGACTATCAAAGGGTAGTAGCAGCAGTAACTGTACTGGCAGCTGTGAAGGTGACTACGCATCAAATAAAACGAAACTTATAATAAATATAGTGTCGATTGCACAACAGTCGTCCGCGAGTTGGCCACTCTGCTTGAAGCGTCTGTTCGTATGTGACGCCTAGGAAAAACGAAAGGGTTACGCTATAGCAGTGTTTGCAGCTGACAAACATTAAACGTTCGATTTATCTCATCAACAGATTCCTATCGGAGATTTCATATGTTCAGATACAGTGGCAGTAACAAGGGAGAGCGAAGCCATACGAATGAGGAACGATTCTTAGCTGTTCGGTGATAGATAATGGCCAACGGGACAAGTGAAGCGGGCAGGCCGCTTTCCGAAAAATCAGCCTTCTCGGTTTTCCACACCAATTTCGTAAATTACAATAATAATTATATTCTGCATAGCTACTGTGATCTGCTGCATCAAAGCTTTGGCGCTGAGCTAAAAAAATCTTGATACGGTATCACTAATAATTAGATCACCTAGATTTGAATTTAAAAAAAAAAGTTTCACGATTTTGAGTGAAAGTTTCTTGATTAAAGTGAGTTTTCATGATATATTGAATTGTCGTTGGATTTTCTGGAGAAAGATATTAGATCAATTGTTTTAATAGGTCCTTAGCAATCTTCTTACGATATCTACCAATGCCGGATTTATATCAATACGAGTTGGTAAGATATAGCCGATATTTGGCTGTCGTCTTTGATTGGCCCAGGAATAACTTTGCTTTACTACTGAGCATAACCTTTTTTTGCAGGAAAGTTTTTTTAAAAAGTTTAGCATCAAAACCTCGCATTCGTTGTTTTTATAATGGTTGTGGTCAAATCTTCTTTCAATCCCTCTCAAGCCCACACATCGTAATTACGTTTTATCATTAACTCAGTATTTCCGCAAGAACTTGTAGGAATCTTTCACTCCTCTGGACAATGGCTGATCAAGTATCTTCGAGCCTAAGCGGTTTCGAGCTTCTATTTTATGACGTTCTACAATCTGGCTTATCGAGACTCGCTGACCCCATCGTTGAGTCGATACAGGTTTGCAGTATGATATACAAAAGCTTAGTACCCACATCGTGAAAACTTCGACATTATCTAAACACACTTCACGTAACGCAATGTTTTAATAGCTAACGTTACGTAAATACGTATGAATATGTTATTTCTGGAAATTATGACGAATTGTTTCGAGAACAGTGTCACAGGACGCCGTCTCATTGAGAAGCAACAAAAAAGACAGCGTACTTGTAACGATATCGATGCTTATGTCAATGAACTGGGGTCGTCTGAGCTTTTCTCATCTGATCACGTCTTGTATTTTTCGGCCGTTTACCATCGAACATCATCATGCAGTGGAATTTGCTGTCGAAGCGAAAAATGAGACCAGGATTCGGCGCTCTGTATCGCATGTATCTATTTGCTAGCGCACTGCTTCGAAAAAAAACTGATTAGGACTAAGTTCGTGCTCGGCACATAGATACCCAAGATGATCCATTGCTGAATAGCCTTATTATGACCTTCATTATACTGTGCTTTACAGACATATTACAGACGTACAGTTTCTTTTTGTAGAGTACACAACATTTGATAATTTGGTGATACGGACTAGCAAACGGTCATTGTAATATATCGTTCACGTTACATTCATTGTCATCCTCGTTCAAGGGCTGTACAGTCAGTCCTGATACGTTTAGCTCTGCTCTCCCTTGGTGCGAAAATCACCTATCTAATTCTTACCTGATCTTTGAAATTTTGCCAAACGCATGGTACTTGTTGGACTAAAAATTGTTTCGAGACGGAGCATTTCTACAAGGATATTTCTGGTTCGGGAGTGTCTGATTTTCCTTCGTAGCAAGATTAGGAACTAACCACAATGCTAGCACAGATTTTTTGAAGCGCAGGCTAATGCAAAGAAGGCTATAATCGCATATGCTTCTCCTTTGTACGGTAAAATTATTGTCTATAAACACTGCAACGAAGCTGTAACGGATCGATGTCAAAAACCTTCGATAGTAGTTTGATCTGTCACATTGAACTGAGTCCGAAGCAAGCATTACTACACCGGCGTAACGCAGATTCCAGAAGCTTGCTGTACACTTCTGAGAGACGAAACGATTACTTTTACTAGAGATCTATGACAAAGTTGCTTACACTTTCTAGCTGAACAAAACTAGCCTCTGAACAATTTCTGCAGTTTTTGTCTTATTAAAAGATGCATTGGGCAAAATTTATCTCAGATTAATTTCTACAAAAAAAAATCAGCATTGGCGCTATGACTAATTGTAGACTTATCCTCAATCATTACAAGTACTATATATTGACATAGAAGCTTTATACTGAGATACCCTAATTAATTCCTTGCCGTTTTTTTATATTATTAGTAAACCATATTTCTGTGTGTTCTCCGTATATTTTCCATTACTAGACGAGAAAAGACCTTTTAAAAGTTGGCGTCAGAAGTACTGCAGACATATAAAGACGTCGCATAGGCGATATGTGATAGCACGGCCGAAAAACGACAACAAGCTTTGGCAATTCAAAAAACTTGGGACCATCGACAGAATTTTTAACAGGGTAATACCGTATAGTTGGCTTTAATTCGTGTAGTGTGACCGGTTGTATATTTATTCATCGACATTTTTTGCAAAGGTTGATGGTTAGAGGGAATGTGACCTATATGCACACGTAATCCTTTGGTAGAAGAAGAATTGTTTCCTATTTACCCTATTCTGAAAGCAGATGCGTTATTTAGATGACCACGCAGGCCAAAAGCCTTACATAGCTCTATGCGCCAACTACTAAATAGAAAATGCTATAATATTATTGTTTCCCTAATTTTTGGAAGCTAGACGCACAAAGACCAGTTGGACCACTGGCTAAATCATACAGGTTTTATGAACATTCAGTTGTCTTTAGCGTGGACCCTAACATTACTTAAGATACAACGAGTTGATGTATCTATTTTTTTTACACACAGATGAAGAAACGGCGCACGTATACAACCGGCTTTTACTTCAGTCGAAATCGCGCTTGACCCCCTTACAAATGAAGCGTTCGTCCCTAGCTATTTTTTTTCAAAAGCCCTACGCTGTTGTGGACAGCTATCGTCATGAACTTGTGGTTGTTGTTTGATAGGTAGAAGAACAAGACATTCATTAGATGACCATTTTTGTCCAACATGATATAACATATAATGAGTTTATTTTTACTTAATGCGTCTTTATAGTTCCTCAATTTCGGCTCATATACTTTGGATACAAAGTGCACTTGGTCAATTTATATGAGAATATTTTTAGCACTAACCTCAAGTTATATATATCGGAGCAGCTAAACAAACTATACAGGATCAGACCAACTTCAAGACAGCCATAAGTAATAATTAAAGCGAGTGTCCATGCTCAGATAAACATAATGCTAAAAACAATTAATTTTGAGGATTGACGACTGTATCAAAAATAAGTTGTATTGCGATACTCTGATGCTTGCAGTCCATCTGGAATAATGTCCTACATGCATTTATAGTAGATAATCTTGTTTTTGAATCAAGCCTTGGTTGAACACGTTGAACATTTAAAAACAGGTTTCTCGCTTTAAACTACGTTCGAAATTCATTACAATGTTAAATTTTAACTTCAACTAACTTTCAGCCATTTTACTCAGTACAACTTTTTGTGATCTCCATTTTTTTCTGACCAAAGCCTTTGCCATGGTCCTAAAAGAAGGATTTGCAATTCATAGAAGAACGTCCGAAGCAGTTAAAGAAGCAGCTACGACTTTTTCGTCTATGCTTACAGTTTATATATACTGTAGGCACATACGCTCGTAATAAGCAACACACGTCGCATATATTATGGATAGGTTAAACCCGGTATGATTATAGCGTTGTGGTTACGAATGACGGTTCAGTTTATAAGAGCTTACTGGCCCTACGGTAGAAGTTCTGATGCACTTCGAAGCCAATCCTTGAGATCACTGCTACTTCTTGGAGGTCGAGGCTCATCGCCGCTTAAATATGCACATACGACGCATGGACACCTCCCACTCGTTTCGCTTAGAATAGTAAACTATTATGGGGATTTTTATTTTTGTAGCACGCGTCATTGCATCGCCGATCTATTAGTAAATTGTATTAAGTAAATGATCATGCTAACTAAATATGAATTAATGGATCACTCACAGTTTTGTTCGTCGCTGGGCGGTGATAACGGCTCGTCATCTGCAGGCTGGGTCGAACTATCAAGATCGCCAAGATCATCGAACTGGAACATAAGCTCTTCAAAAACTCCAATCGTAGCTGTCGCCGCCATTTGTTCTTGCTTCGTAATTACCGTTCGTTTTTATCGATATTTTATACAAAAACACATACACGCAAGAGCGCTATAAACAATTGACAGCTACAAGCTCACAGGTCACCCTTTCCTATCATAGCTAGCGCTCGATTACTTCATTTCGTTTTTGTGTGTGTCGCCGAACACTTACGCAGCGTGCGCTCCTGGTGACTCACGGTACCTATGCAATTACACCGTCGATAAACGTTCCACGACGCTCGGTGTCGATTGTTGGCTTGCCGCTTCTTCCGTTTACTTATCCCAGTTTCACAGAGAGTTCGCCGTCATTCGTGTAATCAACAAACAGGACACATGAATATTTTTTCCTATCACTGTTTCTCCGTCTATCTGTTTTGACCGGCACGAACAGGCAGCTACAAGCGATGATGGCAGCGGGGAGCGTAATCCGTTCAGTAGGCAGTAAGCACAAATTCCAATTAGACAATGAGAACAAGCGTGACAGGCACTGATACCAACAATAACAACTTCAACACCCTATATACTGCATGAACAGAAACAACAACGCTACAGCAACGACAATAAACAAAACAGTCGCCCAACCGTTATGATTCCTGTGCACCAGTCCCGTTACTACTTCTTCGTTTTCTTCGTTACTTTTTGCGAGACGCCAGCTGATTGGAACGCCAGATCGGGCTATGGCGGGCTGTAGGCAGACGAATCGGCCAGACGATTATCACTGCTGCTGCTGCTGCTGCTGCTGCTGCTGCTGCTGTCACTGCTCTAGAGAGATGACGGCAGCAGAGACAGTTCTTCGCGGCTGCGATAGCAGCGGTAGGCGGCACGGGAAGCACGTGTCAAGAAAACGTGCGCTTGCGCTGAACCCGCTAAAACGAGAGGACACCTACAAGGCGACGGTGCACTCACTTCGGTGAAGCCGATGTCGGCTTATTGCAGGCAGTCTGTGGTTGCGACTTTAGCGAGCTGATGTTGAGCTCCGAAAGAGGCGATTCTGGAGTTTCCGCTAATCGACTGTGTCACGTCCAGAGACAAAGCTATATGACGATGCTGTATCCGGGGGAACTCGGTATCAGAAGCTTTCCTCGAGCGAAGAAATGAAATATCGGAGAGTCTTCCAAACTCAAAACAGCCGGTGACAAATAGATTAACACAGTCTAAACACTTCTCAATTAAAACGGAATTGTGTCACCATTAATGGAGCTAGATGCACGCGAGACAGTCACTCTGTGGATTTATGAGAGAGGAAAAAAGTAACTCTGGTTTGTTACGTCTCGGTCACTGCGCCTATATACTATACAAAGAACGCACCTATTAAGCACAGTATTAGACGTGTGATGCAGCTTAATTCTTCAGCGAGGTAATCTTGACGGTGGCAGGAACGTCAGCAACAGCCAGACCACAACTAACAACAATAACAGAAGAATTAACCGTGTGCCCAACAGCTACCGCACGACGACGTCCGACCGCAGGACTGCTTTTGGCAAGTAGCCCTTCGATAGGCACGGTCACCGCATGGGTCTGTCCGGACGGTCCGCACTGCCGGCAGATCGATAGAGGAAGGCTACTGTTTCCGAAGAAGAAAGGGTAAGTTTTGAGAGAGGGCCTTTACCGCTTGCCTACTATGGTTCTGCCGTGGCGGCCATATCACATCTTGGCAGCGACAGCGGCCGTTATGCAGTATGGCAACGAATGCTCGCATGCAGGAGAGACCTACCTACATAGTGCGAGCAGCCAAAAGACATTGGTTTTCTCGCTACCAGACGGTTGCGGCTCTGCTCGGCCGGGCCCTGAATAGTCAATTATAATGCATGGCAAAGCGGGCGGTAGAAAATGTGGCAACTAAGTTTTGTGCTGGCCTACCACCTTAAGTCTTGTCAGATTGAGGGTGCAGTATTAGGAAGCGTCGGCGACAATACCTTGCGTTAGGGTATGGGAAACGCCCGGAAAAAATGGCTCGGGGAAGATTAAAGGACGGCCGGCTGAAACCAACGCAAGTTGGCGTCGCTTTTATAACTGTGATATGCCTCCCAGGCTGTGGTGACATTTATGAGGGTATGAGTTTATTGCAAGTAAATTCACGTAATGACGAATTTGAGTAGCAACGAATTTTGCGGACTAGTTGCCTTATTACTATTCAGACGTAGGCCGTGGCTATTCATTCAAGCTTATGGTGAATATTAGTATTGCCTTAGTTAGCCGTTCAGCTTGTCAGTAGTTACCATATTGCATATCGTGTAGTTTACTGGCATACGTATAATTTCGATTTTCCGGTTCCTCTGCACTGTGAAGTTTGGCACCTTCGAATTGAGTCGCATATGATATCACCGGCGTGCGAAATATACTGAGTAAATATACTGAATTACAGATTCGCAAATATAAGTTAGGTGGCCTATTATTTACGTCTCAGTGCGACCTGATGCGGACGTCTGGTTGTGTACAATATATATTTCCGTATGAGCGTACTTGGATAGGCCACCTTCATTGTTATAATGCGACGACCGCGTAGCTAGTTCCTAAAGGATAAGAGTTTGTCCAGCTGGCAGTATTTCAGGGTACAGGGAATTACAAGTTCTCTTCGATTGGCAGCGGCCTCAATTGAGACAGGTAGCATAGAGCAGAAACGGGTGAAATCTAAAACAAGAGTCTAAGACTAGTAGAATCTGAAAATTCTACCACCGCCAGCATTACGTAGCTCTTACTAAAAGCTCCACTTTAGATTCGAGTTTTTATTTTTTTCTTTTTTTTTTTTTAAATTTTAAGTTAATCAAGTTATTAAGCTTAGCAGTAAAGTGCATTTGAAACGGCTGTATCTTTTAAAGTAATAATACACGATAGTATAGGTGTCTATGCTATTTAAAAACATAAAATGCAGTTAGTTGCGTAGCTGTTAATAAAACGTTTCTAAAGCAACGCATAACAGCTTAAGCGCCAGACGTAAAACTCGAAACGCTTGATATAACGTCAGAAATCGGATGTCGATTCTTGGTATTTTATTTGATTACAAAACTCCAATTTGCATAGAAATCGCGTAAATTCAGTTCTCAAGTAGGGTATATGTATACTATTATATTCCGTGTAAAACCTACAAATATATTACCATTAATAATAAAAATATCTAAAAACTTCTAGCGGACTTCGAAAGAAAAATCCTTTTGAATAAGAATGAAGGGCTTAGTTAAACTGTATCGATATATCGCGATGCTGGTATTTTTGAAAAAAGTCCTAAAAGGATTTTGATATAATTTGAACGTAAAAAATGCCCAACTGGCTTTTCTTCTCTGTAGCTCTTAATTTATTTTCGCTCTCTATTTCTGTTCTGAAGAAATTCTATTACCATTATTATTACTATAAGATTGATATTGTGACTGCGCATTGGGTTTGGCAATGACCTAGTTTCAGAATAGAATACAGAGCCCCCGTTACCTGGCGCAAGCTATAGAACTGTCTCTGTACGTTTCAACATAACATATCAGATACAACATAACGATACGCAATATATAATATAACAGAATAACATATTAACTTTTTTTAATGCAGGTTTCTCGAGTGAACCCAATCTATTCTTTAGGCCAATAGACCGTCTTAGTTTTTCCTTGCAGCACGCTAAGTGTTCAAAGTGCTAGCCCTCGAAATGAGATAGTGCTTAATCCACACCCAATTTCGGACCTAAACCATCTACCGAAAGCTATCACTTTTATATGTTCAACGTATATCCTATACATATCAGGCAATGTTTAGCTTGTTTTTTTTCTTCTGTAAAACCGGTACAACTTTATGGGAATCTACGTAAACAACAGACGCTTTTGTAGAACGCTAAAGGAAAAAATACACGCATCTTACTTGTACAGATACGTACTTCCTTAGGTTATCTTTCAGACTAAATTCTTGATGATCAGCGTTGTTTTGATTTGCCCCCTGCAATGTCCTCGGCATTGACCACGGTAATCTTACTTTCATCAAGGAAAATATCCACGACGTATTATATATATCATTGGTTACAAAAGCTTGTCGAACAGAAGCTGAACATGCGCTTCTGGCTAATTGAAGCATTCACTGTCATTTGCTACTAAAAAGATGACAGCTATTACTCTGGTCGGATAAGGCGATTGGTGTACGTGTGGGTTCATGTGCTACAAAGCTACATAGATGAGCCAGCTTAGTCAAGATTAAATCTAACGAATCTGAGCTTATTTATTCCGTCTGTGATTATACTAAGTGAATGAACGTATTCAAAGAAATCAGTGGGAAGTCTGTGATAACTGCAGAATTGTTTCATCAACCACCTCTAAATTATTCTACCATAGCAATCAAATATATGTGTGTTGATCGTAATGAGGATATTATATTCCATGCTTATTTAATTAAAGAAAATGTTTTTAAACAATAGATATTCATCAGTTGAAGAAAGTAACAAGTCTGTCATCGCTTTTACAAAGTTTCTCGCTTTCCAGCTAGGGGCTCAAACCTTATGGCAGTTAATTCTTCCACGTTGAGCTCTAGTTTCCGTCCGCGGAGTGCCTTCAGCTTTCAAACTATTACCTTCGATCTACTATTAGAACGGCTTACAAATCTACCGAAGTATTTTTTTTCAATTTTCACGTGAAACTATTTATGCCTGTGATTGCAAAACAGGCGGCATGCAATACAGTATGCCAGTTAAGCAAGAATATAGTTAGAAAAGAAGTTACTCAGGATAAATGAAGCAATTGGCTCTTTCGAAATTCGGTCCGGTAACGAACACCCGTAAGCCACCTTTAATGCTCAGGTTTATTTTGTACTAACATTTTTAATAGCATTAATAGTACTGTAATCTAAATATTTAAAGACAGCTTTGATGCCATGCTTGGATAATACAACGCTACGTGACCACTGATGGCTCCGAATAAGCAAAGCCCTTATCTCACTTTTTTGTTTTGGTACGACCAGTTCAAATAGTAGTGTATGTTGTGCTCCACCAATAAAGGACTAAACAATCATTGGTTTTCCCAGTATTCTTTTTTTTATACTGTAACCCCACGCTCTTCCCGGGTAGCAACTGTTCATGTTGCAAGTGAAATAACCTAGTAGAGTAGTAAATACAAGAAACCAACCACAGCAAAAAGGCTATTGAAAGATGGAAACTACGAACGGCTTGGAACGGCTGAGTTTGCTAGGTTTTGGTTGCCGGCCCCTCTGTTTTGCCTGAATTTCCCAGCGATACAAACGAGGAAACAGCCAGTAGGAGCACTACCAACCGATTCACATTGGCGGCCCGCCGCTGCCGCTCAAACGTCTAAATCGATCAAAGTAAATAGACAGGCTTGTTTAGCATATCACGATAGTTTTTTTTTTACACATGCAGTATTATCCATAAAAAGCCTTAAGTGAAAAAAGAGCGAACAAAAGTCAATTCACAGAAATTGTTACGTACGAAAGTGTAAAGTCACTTCTTGTAAAAAAAAAGGTCTGGGTGCATTTTTATTAGTCATATATAATTCAACCGTTCTAAGCACTATTTTTACGATCCTGTTTACTGCTAACTGACTGCAATGCCTTTTCGCTTCAAATTTCAAGGCTGTACACGATAAGTAAATCGTTATCAAAGAACTGTTATTTAATGATTTAACAAAATACGCAAGTCAAAGTATTGCTAGTAGTAGTATGTTAACGAAGAAACAATACTTCTTATTTTGGCTTGTTCCTTCTACAAGAACAGTGCAGTCGGCGAAGGGGCGTTTTCCAGCTTACTACTGTATAGAGTTCGCCAAAGGACCAAAATCTAAATAACAAATGAACGTAACAAAGCAATATTTGACAGGTCTGCTTGAGTTAGTGAAGGGATTTTTTTCGAGCCTATTGTAACGACTGGTCTTTGTCAGCTGTTTATACAGAATTTCCACAACCTTGCCACACATGGTAAAACCAACTTTAATTGTATAGCCGGAACACCTCTGAGTACCCAAGCGCACGTATATTATGGCTTAGGCATAATATGTTACAGTCAAGTAAAACTCTAGTCACTGATAAGTTTTGGTTAGCTAGGGGAACGATTATCATCGTATTATTTGATACGTGCATATGCTTAGGTCACTTTTGTATGCTGAGAAATCTCTTTCACTCTCGCTTTTGTTTGGAAATCAAATAGAATGGAATAAACCTGGTTGCTGTAACACATTGTTAGCCGATAACTATTACTATTATCTTTGTTTAGATATTATATACAGAGAGTTATACGGAAAGCTATACGGATCTCGATGCCGAAAGCTTAAGCACTGAACAGGTTGAAGTTCGCAGAACTCAAATGTCCATTGGCGAGCCTATTAATGATCAGTATACCGGAGGCGTGCAACGGAAAAGCAGTTATAAAACATTCAAATTCTACGCGCCGCATGAATAATACTATTCTGTGGTTTATTAAAGAAATTAACTTTATTAAAAATTATTTACTTTATTAAGAAATTAAAAAATTCGATTGCTTAGAATCAGTCGTGTATTAATATGACTATTATTATTCGTGACATAATTGTTCGAATTTCTTCGCGGGAACTGCTGCCAAGTTTCTCGGAATATTCGTATGTCATCACGGTCCGGCCCTTATACCTTAAACAAGTAGAGAGCACAAACCTTCTTATTAGCAGCTTGCTCTACTTAGGTTTATACCATTGCAACTTTCCTTAATGACACTTTTTTTTTGTTCATCCATGAGCAAATCGGATTCCCTTTGTTGTGTTTTTTGTGAATAATTAAAACTTGATCATTTCAGTCTACTAGGGCAAAAACACTTGCGCAGTAATAATAATAATAACCGTCTAAACTAAAATATATAGTTCGGACTGCACGCCAGAGCCGACCATAGCGTTACCTGTTACGTGCCATTACGTATGTATACACGTACGTGACCATGTAGCACACTGATGTAAGCACAAATCTGTCCCATTTGCTAACAGCAGCCTCTTCTCGATTCGTGAATGACAACACCTCATGATTTGGCTGTTAAGAATTCAATTTGTTTGATCTCACTCACTCGCGAATATTCACGAGAGATGAACTGGTCATACTGTTAATATGATTCATTGTAGTTTTGAACGTTCGTAGCGTAAAGGATAACTAATGTCATATTACTATCATTATTAATAGCTTATTTGCTAAGGAAAAAAAACAAGCAATTGCCGTACTAAATGTCCGTTGGAGTACGGTAATTGCTAGACGGACCATGGCACTTTTTGAATACTTTTTTTGTATACTCTCGTAGTATCTAAATAGATAAGAATACATTTTTGATTTTCCCTCATACAATTCCTTTGAGGAGTAATTCTGTCCACCCGTTGATAAACTATTTCGCGGATCTTATCGATCTTTTGGTGCCGCCACTGGCTGATTCAAGCAGCGAATGTTACTAGCCTTGATGTTACCTCTTGCCGTAGCTAAACGTTATTTAATATTGCTGTTGGATAGGAAACTTCGAGCGCATTTATGATACCGCGATTTTATGAAAATGATAGTTACCGATGACGATAGTTGCTCAAACCGGGCGCCGGCAGCAGCATCGACAACCTGGAATTAATGTTAAGAAAACAATTGCATCTTGTTTCCCAGAGTAATGTTTATGGTGCCGAGTGAAAAGCACGAACGCATCTAGTCAATCAGTGTACCATCGAATAATGTTTGTTCTAGGGTCACATTGCGTGTCGTTCAGCAAACGCCAAAGCGGTAAAGTTTAGCACGATCACTCACGTTGTTTACGGCTGTTTTTGCATACTAGGTTATCTATAAATAATGAAAACTGTCAGTGTTGCTGAAAACTCATCTATGGATATCACGAATTCAAATATCTCGCGACACATTCAAAACCTATAGTCGTGAGTAGTTCGTCGACGATCTGATCGCAGGTACGTTAAAATCCTTTGATGTCGTATGGCAACCGCTTTTATAAATCGTTTTTGACAACTTTTGCATGCAGTAAACATAAATGAACTTATTTTTAGGCTAGCGATCATTTTACATAAAGGAAGTTAACGGGGCACTGGAGGGAGGAACTACGTCTGATCGGTAAGGTTATCGCTGATGTGGCTTCCGTTTATATTCGGTTAGGCTAGACTTGTAAATCTAACTTTAGAAATTAGTGACTACTACGTCGAGGGTGATGCTTCCTAAATATCCCCATAATTTTTGGATAACACCCAGAGAACGATTGATAGCAAAAAAAAAAAGTAACTAACATGCCTAGCACTAACTAACGTATTTCTGGCTAGAATTATAAAAGTAATCAGTGGTTTTTGTCAAAATTTTAAAGCTTAGACGATAGGGAAAAACTTATCCGTAGTAGAAGATCAGCTTGAAATGTAACGTGACTTTTAACAGATTAGATTAATGCTTGTTGAGCTTATTTCACATTATTTGCTTCACTAAATATAAGCAACCCAGATTTAAAAATATTTCTCTTGTACCAAAATTAGAATATCAGAGTAGTCAGCGGTTACGTAAAAACTGAGCCATTTCGAAGGATATGTTTCATGTTTACGTAAATTTCACGTATTCATAATTTGCTGAAGTTAAAAAAAACTTTCACCTTGTTTATTCGAGAATAAACCAACGATTTAATTGATCAAAACACTTGTAGTATGATAATACCACTTAATAGTTACAATTTACATGAAGTATTACTTGGACTATGCCAAAATAATCTGAGCACATATCTTAAAGTATCATTATAAGATATAGATAAATTATTAAGAATCGGTAAGTGCATTACAATTACATATAAAGACCATAGTTTTCTTTATATGATGCTTTTAAGGTGACGACTATTCGAATGACTTTTAATTTGATAGACATAAACGTTACTAATAGTAATTTTATAGTTCAGTTTTTTTTATTTTATTCTGCTTCACCTACAGTTAAGACACACTGTTAAAGATTACTCTCACTACTTAGCTGTTTCGAAAACACAAACAGTTTACTTTTTCACATAACGGATTCGAACCCAACTTTCTTATAGTGGCTACACCAGCCATAGACCATTTGGTTATACTAGCATCGCCATTACTGTGCCAATTCTATAGAGAAATTTCTTTAGGGGAATTTTTTTTTTATTTTGGTCGAGTCATCTCCGCTTTATTAAACGGTACTGATACATCCATTTGTTTGGTTCCATTAATTTTCTTGCCCGGTTTGTAACATTAAAAAAAAAAATCGATTGAAGACTGGTCTACCACTAAATGAAATAGAAAGTCGTCTCTTTACCACAAAATAGATACACTTAGAATAATAAATGTGCAATGAAGACTCTTCTCTCTTAGAGAAGGCTACACTCATTCTACGTTCATTAAAGAGATACACGGATTCATTCGCTGTGTTCATCGTCCTATTTTCAAAACAGTTTTAGAGTGCAGAGTGATCAGAAGTTCGTGTATTTTATGAATCTTATACACAATCTGTATATACTTTCGATACATACAATTCGAATACAAAATCGAAGAAATTTAGGTAATACGAAATAGTTCAGAAGTAAAATAGATTTTATTGATATTTTATTATAACAGTAGTATATGACGAAATGATTGCAGCTGTTCCCAATGATCAACTGAGAATTGGACGTTTTTGATTATCTGCAAAAGTATGACTAGTAAATTTAAATCAGCTTCTATACGAAATCACACAACGATAAAAAAACACTCTGTCCTGTACAAGTGATTAGTGGTTTATTTCATTCTCGTATGCCAGTCGCGGGCAATTGAAAAAGCCCAAATTTTACATTGTACACAACAGATGTTATAATGGTTTTCCGATGATCGTTCTAATTTACACGTTCTCACAAATATGCACTTTCTACATATCTACAACAACATTGATCTATCTAATATGCCATACTAATTTTCTGCAACAAGACACAATGGGTAGTTGTTGAAGGGTCATATGCTGCCCGTTACGGGTGACATGAAGCGCGTGACAACGAAAGATCAAGTCTCAAAATTCAATCAGCGAGAGGGCCAGAAGGGTCTTTGGTTGTCTCTAGCCCTTGAATTTTAACTATCTAAGTTAGCTTCTTAAAAAGGAAAGCAGGAAAGATTCTCCGGTCAGGAAAAGGTTCTGCATATGATCCAAACCATACCCGAAAAGAAGTAAAATTGCCTAGTAATTTCTTGCCAAGCAAACTAAACTTTTCACATGAATCAAGTTGATTATATTAATATTCTGGATATTTTGTATCCTTCATTTTGCGTATCTTAATAAAAAGTGCAACTGAAAGAGAAAAAAAGACGATAGACGCTCGTTTTTTATACACGAGTATGAAATACAAACTGCTCGTTGTGACACTGCACACTTTCACTTTATCGACTACGAGAGCGTCCGTGGTAACGATCAGAGCTGCGAGAACGATGTCTTGACTCAGGGGACCTGCAATTATCATGTAAGCGGAGAGAAAACTAGAATTAGCTTCTGCACAGGCAATGATATGATATGCATTCTGAACACGCACTAATAACGCGATTCGCAGGCAACAAAATGACAAGACCAACAGGTGATGGCTTAAAAGCAATTATTACTCTCCTGCGGTATTCTTCCACGGTTCGCAAGCAACAAGCTTGCCGGTCTTTGTCCATCGCATATACCACTGACAACCATTAACATAGAAACTATCGTCGTATTTCAACATATATTCGTCGAGATACACGGAAAGATTTACGAAATCTATTGTTGAATGACTTGTCACCTAAAAGTATTTCGATCCGATAGGTGCTATACAAATAGTTCGTTTAACAATCAAGAGGTTGCCAATCAGAACCACTCTGTTGGATAAGATCTGTAGGTTAGTTCTTTAAAATACTAGGAATCTAGTTATCTCGCGTATATAAATCTTTTTTGACTCTGTTCCTCGTCACAGGTGTTTATGGCGTACAATTACTGGTATGGTTACAAGTAGATGCTTCAGGGATGTAAGCCTAAGATAATGTAACAGTAACACCTTACTCATACATTTGAACACAGGGCAACAATACCAGAATCTATTGCGTTAACACATTCTCGAATGTTCTCAATGTGATTTGTAAACCAGCTAATGGTGCACCGTTACGATCGCTCAGGTTAGACGATAAAATTGCTGTCTCGCAAAATCCTCCAGATCGAAGAATTTCTCCGATTATTTAAGAAACAACCCAAATTAAGCCTGCCCGACATTCACATAACAGCAGCCAAGGGAAGCGAAGAGGTTGTGCTTAGCAAAAATATATTTTCGTTCGCCAGAGTCTGTCTTTATAGAACGATTCTATGAACCGACACGTCTCTATGAAACGATTCGCAGTACCACAACTGAAACCGAACGCCACATTGCCCAAGATTGGTATTACTGGTGTTAATATCTATATATGACCTTAGGTCTTACTGCGTTTGCCCGCTATGTGTAAGAATAATGTTCGAAAACGACACTGTTGCTTGAAAGCTACTATGAAAGCAAAAACTGCTTAAACATACCATCTTCGGCCCGAATGCAAAGTTCGATAACTATCGCTCTTCACGTCGGAATACCTTCGACGGCTTGCGCTACCTTGACTTGATGATGACTGATCGTGACGGTTACTCCTGGAATAGAATAATGACTATGAATATTTTCACATATATTCTCTAAGCATATATTACATTATTAAATTAATTATATTCCAATAGACACTACTGCATCTTTAGGAATATCTAGGCCTCTTTATTTTGATTCCTGTTCTGTCCCATTGGTCGTCTCAACTAACAGGCGTACCTTGAATGACTCTCGCGATAAGAGCTCTTTCGCGGATCGCCGCCGGTTCTTCTCTTCTGTGCTTCTAGGGAACTATCTTCGCTATCGGATGATGAACTGTTTGAAGATGCATACACGCCGCAGTCGTCGCTAGCGTCGCTCTCATCGCTCGAATACTTTTTGCGGCTATGTTTATCTTTGTCCGTATCTACGTCCTTTTCCTTTTCTTTGTCGTTGTTTTTAGCTTTCTTCATTCGTTTCCGTTTCTTTCTGGCCTTTTTCAGTGCTTTTTTCTCTTTCTTTCTCACCTTTTTAGTGCATTTCTTTTCCCTGCGAAGTCGTTTTTTTTCGGCCTTTTCTTGTGCTGCTTTTTCGTCCCTTCCAGGAACGACATCTTCGCGTGCGGTCTTCCCTTCAGCACTTATGCCGTCAACTTTATTCTGCTGAAGTTCATGAATAACTTCCGGAGCGCACCCTTTTTCATGCAGAAGCTTTGTAAGCTCGTCATATTCTTCACTCTCTTTTGGTGGACGATAATTTTCGACGTGGTCTACACGGATTATCCGATTACAGAGCTAAAGCAAATGAAAAAATAATAATTGGATCCGATGCAATTACATAATAATCTCTTAAAAGTCCAATGAAATAATAGACATATCTCAGTAGTGTCTGCGGGGGACGACGACAGCACATAACTCGTACGATGCGGAAAACTGAAAAATCTGCAGTCTTAAAATTAATCAATTCATTAAAATCAAACTTACAAGAATTTCATTCCAACAGCAAGCTCAAATTTGGTGTACACATTTTGACTAATGATTACCTGATCTGTTTCAGAATAGTAAAAAAGTTTTGATATTAGGGTTACATATGACTGAAAAAGTGAGGCACATCGTTTAAACACTACATTACTTTGATGCCATTTAAATTGTCGACAGAAAGAATAGTTGATCGCTGATCCTCATAGCATAAAAATCCATAACCGCGACTTTTCCCAGTTTTTTTGTCTCGCACAAGATTAATATTAACAATTTCGCCATATCTGGAATCAAAGAAAATACGCGACACAACGTTATGGCGAACGAACTACATGATATGCATTTTTTTCCTTCATATTTAAAGACCTGTATATATATGGTATGTACAGATACTTAAGAATCATAGTGGCGATGAAATATTCAGTTCAGGTTCAAATTCAGGCGGAATGAAATATTGTGTAATTTTAATTAGGAAAAAGAGGAGCTACTAACTGCGAGAAAACGCAAAGAAGGTCGCCTTCAGTAAGGTCAAAGCTGACTCCGCCAAAATAAATCCAGGCTGAGTTCTTATACTTTGAATGCCAGCTTTTATCCTGCCCAGTCAGACCGAGTTGAAGTTCACGTTCATTGATTTTTTGAAGATTCTTGACGTTACTGAAAACCCAATCAACCAAAACGCAAGAATACCAATACTAATTGATATTGGTTAGAGAAAGACATAAAGACAGGCCGTGCGTTGCGAAAGATTGCGAGAATTACTAAAAGATGTAAAAAAAGTGCCCCACGTCGAATTTCTCGGAAAGGAATCCAACAAAACTCTTGCATTCACTTTTGGGCATCAGCTTTCACTATGCACCCATAGATCTTGTATTGTAGATTTTTGACACATCCTTCCCCAACTGTACCTAAACAAAAAAATACTAAACACGAGAACAGACAATAAAAAAGTTTATACTACCTTATTTTAATACCTTTTCGTTAAAATGTTGAATTTTATTTAATATTTGATTATTTAGAACACTATTTCTAAATTAACACGAAACTGCAAAACACATTAATAGGCCTTAATGTAACAAGTTCACGCGTATAATAGAAGCTTGGTAGAAAGACAGCTAAATACGATTTTGTTGTGTTTCTGTTCGATCCCTGATATCTAGAAAAGCATATCATGAAAAATGTTCCTTATAATCAAATTGTTTAAAATCTAAAATTAATTTGTCTAAAGTTCAATATTACTCACGTGAGATAATTCATATTTCTCTGACAGCAAAAATACCCGACTTCTCAATTGAGAGGATTTCATTTGCCGGTTAGACGGGGCGGAATCGAACATCGCATGAATAAAATCGGTTGTCTCGCGGATTCAGTCAAACATTGCCAACATTGTGTAAAGATAAACACTAGAGAGGACGATCTAGGTGAGGGCTGTGTTTGCGCGGCCAATTTGAATGCATAATTTTCACAACATGCTGCTTTCATGTATAACTATTATTCAGATTATAAATTCTGCTATATGTAATTACGCAACTGCGCTGCGAATGATAGCAGTTTGGAAAATACTATATATAGTTCCTACTTTTTATGCTGGTTTATGAATAGTGGAAACATTCGTAAAAAAGATTTAAAGTTTCGACGAAACATCGTCACTGCTTGGTTTATTTTCTAAAAGTTCTGATATTGATTACATCTCTGTAACCCTTACCTAAAAGCAATATTTACATATATTATTTATAAATATTTTTATTAGCTATATTTACAAATCCATCCATCAGCGCTCGATCTTTAAATCTCTTTCACCAGAATTTTTGTTTGTGAATTTTTGGCAAATTTATATGAAATTCTACACACATATAATTGATGTCAGAGCTATTAAGGACTAAGCCGAGTACTACCGACTCCAAATTATATTCAGTTAGCGCGACATAGTACCCAACCAAAGTAAAAACCTGTAATTATTTCACATAAAATCGGTAGGCAATTGAGGTAATACCTGGTACCTTAATTGAGCAAGCGTTGAGAGATGATAAAGTTCAAAGAAAGAGATATAAATCATCGATGTTTTCTATTACAGCTTCTTTTTTTTATATCATTCCTACTCCTAACCGTGTAAAAATTCAGTAACAGCACCACTTTTCTTAAGCAAAACGCTTTTTATTACTAGCAAGGGTTAAAATATAAGCTTGACAGGATTTTAATTACTTTTTTCGTATTTCCAGTTTCTAAGGATTAGCCAAAGCTTACTCATAATTATGAAATAAAGTTTGTATCTATGGCCTGAAATGTTCTAACAATCTAACAGAGAATTAAATTTGATTTTATTGAAACGCCTTTAATTTATTGAGATTCTAAGAAACTACAAACCTTACTAAAAGTATACTTTTGGAAGGATTAACCCTTCGTTCGGCAACAACAAACAATTCAGTACAGTTTCGGTATAGCACCTTGTCCACCTATTTTACCTGCTTCTCTCACTCGATTATACCGAGTATTTGTACGCTAGTTTAAGAACAAACTAAAGGGTCTTATTCGCACGTCTATGAAATAATTTTTAGATATACTATCTATAGCAAAAATTCAACATTTGTATAATGATTTGTACAGTGGTTTACGCTTTTTATTACTCAACTATAAATGATATAATGCATAAACTATGTTTCGATGTAACTTCCAAGTTTTGTAACTAGAGTTAAGCACTCGTAGAGCGTTTTTGCTTAGTTGATATACACGTATGTATGTATGTATTAAATGTATGAAATATGTCTAATATATATGTGTTTATATAGTTCAAATATGAGCACTTGTTTATCATCATGTTTTTACATTGCTTCTCTCCACAACTCGGAAATGTTGCTGAATCTATTGAACTAGAGGAATTATTTTTGTCGATCAAATTCTAGATGCAACCAAGAAGTAACGCACAAAGATTCAACTGATGCAGCTGAAGTAGGTAATAATATCATTGAAAAAATTACCAGAACGTTCTACTCCCGGAAGAATATGGGATGAAAAAACCTCTGCAGTATACTTATTGCAGGAAATATCTTTTCTGTAACCAAATAATTTATATAGATCATTGGTGATTGACTCCAGTGCACAGCCGTTCAGATGCCACCTAAACTCTTCAGCTACTTTGTGCTGTTGTCAAGACAAAATGTCTTAGGATGCAGTTACGGTTACAGAACAGTTTTGTCAATGAAATAGCAAGTAGACCAGTTATAAACGCCTTATTCATACGAAAATGCCATGTGCAAATAGTAGGCGCACGTTGGGTGCAGCAGTGAGTTCATATTTTAGCTTCAATCGTTCAATACGTCCAGCGACGACTCAGTTGTTCTCCTTCTCGTGTCGCCTATAATCAGCGTTCATTTCTTCCACTTAGATATGAACTCCCTAACGGGGACAAATTACACTAACAAATGCCTCGTAGGCGTGCTTTTTGCATGGCGGAACTGAGGAACTTCGCCAAGGCAAAAATGCCGAATGTCTTAATATCGTTTCCGATCTCTGGAGCGATCTCTTCGGTCCCGCGAGCGATCTCGTCGTCCATGGTCCCGATCTCGGCTGCGGCTTCGATCCCTATGCTCCCTATGTTTATGCTTTTTTTCCCTGCGTCGCTCACGCGAATCACCGCGACGGTCTTTGTGATCGCGGTGCTCTCTCTCTCGACTGCGACGGCGGTCCTCCCGTGATCTGCTGCGACTTCTCCGATAAATATGATCGCGGTCCCGTTTTCGGTCTGACCACACATCTTCTGGCCGAGAGGGATCTCGAGTATCCCTTTTCCGGAAAGACGCTTCTTGCCGAATTGCAGCAGGTTTTTGTACAGGACATCTAAAAAGGCAGAACAAAGATTGTATATGAACAGAATGCCCGCAAGGGATACCTTAAGATGTTAAGCTTGTAAATTGCTAGATCCAAACATTTTTGTCAGCGTACTTATTCAGGCTATAGAAGCCACTTGAAAATATACTATATGGACTGTACAATATTACTCATGTGGGCAGTGGTAAAATTACTTCTCTTTTTGTGGTCTCGGTATAGTAGAAGTGCACGCACTTGTTGGCAATAACGGCGTTAATCTGCTTCTGGACAGGCACTGGAATGCGCGGGAAGAGAGTGGAATACCAGTCGAGATTCTGGAGCATATTACGGACCAACTGACCCATTGTCATCGGATCACCACCACCGGCTTTTGGGTCAACTTCCTGTGAGAAAAAACATTCCCAAATGAAGGCGAGAAATATAAATGTTAGTAACTTGGCTGAAGGGAGCGGCCTCGCCGGTGAGTCTCCGGACACGAAAACGATGTCTCCGCAGCTGCAAACAACGCACGTACCAAAAAATCAGATAATGGCCTACTTTTCTTGAAATGAAACTAACCGAGGCAATGAAAACCGTAAGACTAATAAAGCAACTACTGCATAACTAAAAGTAGTCAACAGTTAAACTATTCTACACAAATGCGATACACAGATATATGAAATCAGTCTTGACCTACAGACGCTAACAGTGTACGGCTGTTGGTAAAATTTTGCAGTCAAAACACAATGAATTTACTGTCATTCGTTTCGATTTGTTTTTGTTGTCGTCAACTGGGAGGCATCAAAAGAGGGATTCGGTCCGTAGAGTTACCTCAACCGGCGGCCAGACGTCTTGCAAGCGGAGGTTTGGGTGTGGTCAATGAGCTTATGTTATCGACACACCGCGATTCGTGTTCAATTCGATTTCGATTGAGAGATAGGTCACTTGCCGGTCACGGATCTGTGAACTGTGGCCTGGCGCATCCCGTGTACGAGCTCTTCGGCTGGACAGAGGCAGAAGTTACTTCACATAACTTAGCCATTGTCGTCTGCTGACCGCAACAATACCGCAAGGACAACGGCAACCACACTGCAAGGCAACAGCTGGTCATTACAACGGCACTATGTACATTTCCCGACAATTCCTCCCGATACAACTTTTAAGACGCATTTTTTGAAGTCCAGGTTCCAGACCCTTCTATAAAATTAATCTATTTTTTTGCAAAATCGTACACAACTTCCTGTTTTATGAAGCCGAACCTCCGGTGTGATCCACCTGCAAGCGCCATTCGCTCCCAGAACAATAAAACAGTCACAGGGATTCTCCAATCAGGTGAAGAATGACTAACATTCTTCTGTCCCAGAGCAATCTAACTTTGACATAATTTCGTTACATGAAAACTCAGCAAGGCATTCGTCACCGGATCGGTGTCACCCTTCACATACTGTTAACTCCGAACCTCACTGAGTTAGCGCGACAACTCTACCTCTTCGTCGGTGAGATATGGTTCGAACCATCCGATAAGATCCTGCGGTGGTTGTGTGTACCGAAGGTACATGAAGCCTAGCGCACGAATGTACGGCGAATCCGTGTGGTCGAGCAAGCCGTAAACTTGTTTTCGTGTCAGCTTAAGGGTGTACAGTTTATAGAGGCAGCAGAAGGCTGTCGAAACGATGCCGCCAGCTCCCACCCCTCGGACTCCGCCACACATGCCGACTTGGCCCGATGTCTGCAAAATATACAACGTTGATAACAAACATTACACAACATAAAACGACTGTGCTTATTATTGTGATTATACATAAATTGCACCTTTAAATATATTAAAGTCTTTTAAGGTAACGCTTCATAATCCATCGCAATGGCATAAACGGCAGGTCCTAGATCACCCTTGCACTGACGATTTTCCTCCTTAGCGAACCAAACATGAAACATAACCAGAACTAGTAAATTTTACTGCCCTATAGCTAGTTATTTAAATGACGTCGACCTGCAGTACCCTTTTCCGCGTTCGCTGGAGGCAACAAGGTTTGTATTTGTCGAATCGAAAGATATCGAAATATTTGTTATCCAATATCCAAAACGGTGATATCCACACGTACATTTATTCAGTGATACAGGCGCACGGGATCTTAAATTAGCTATGATCGACCCCTTCAATGTCTAAAAAACACCACAATTTCAATAGGTTGCTTACCCACCTTCCTTGATCCGCGTTCCCAAGGCTCAAGATGGGCTACGTTGAAATAGATTTCATCGATAACCTGGTGGTAGGTTTTGAGCTTGTAAAGCGTCACCTTAAAGTAAGCAGAGCCCTGGATGTTCGTAAGGATCATCGTGTTGAGATTCATCGTCTTGTCATTACCCCAAACAGGCAGATGATTTGCAGTTTTTCCAACTTCGTCCGCCATCGCGTAGCCCCTTTGAGGCGCTCAATGACTGATTCCCTGAGAAATTCACACAACAGCAGTGGCAGATCATGGGCAATTAATATAATTAAGTTGTTGAATATA